ATATATATTAATATATTAATATATTATATATATATATATAATATATATATATATATATATATTAAAAAAACTCCGCCGCAGGGGGTGGGGGGAGGGGCGTCGTGGAGACAGGGGCGCGGCACAGAGAAAATATGTTTAGCCTCATCCGTTCGTTTCCGTAGCGGCGGCTTAAGGCCACATCCGTAGCGCATTCGCAGGGGGCTTCGACCCGCGAGGGGGCTCCGAGGGCCGTCGGCATGCTTTCGAAGCGTAAGTTGCCTTATGACAGGCTGCAGTTGCCGCCGCAGAGGCGGCTGAGAGCGAACGCGGGGGACCTGATCAGCAGCAGCGCGATCAGCGGGCAGCGCGGTGCTCAGTTGATCAATGACGCCGTCTCTGCGTCTGCGGCAGGCGTTGCCGACCTGCAGACCTCTGAGACCACGTGGGGCATGAAAAACGCTGCCAGGAGATTCAGGCGCCAGTTCTTCAAGAAGGGGTGGCCTCCGCTGTATCACTGTAAGGTGAGGGGCTGGGACCCCAAGTCTGAAACAGAGCAGCTGATGGATATTGCTATGATGCTTCCGCACGAAATCCTGGCTAAGCTACATCATTCGGCGATGAGAGCGTGCTTCTGGAGACGTCGAGCCTCGACGGCGTGTCTTTGCGCCACGTGCAAAAAGCGAGGGCTGAGAGCGGTTGCGACGATCTCGTGGCCTTGGGCGCGTGGCAGGACGGAGCCCCTGCTTCTGGGACCGATCAATGAGCGCAGAAATCATCAGCATCATGCTGCCAGGTGCTGCAGGCCGCTGGAAAAACATGCGCGCACCGTTAACTGCGTTCCTCAAAGAGCATGTTGGCCCCAACACATTTGATGATATCTTCGCCGTGGTGCAATGGAGTTTAATTCATTTGGCTGTGAAGCGCTGGCCGACGGCGCGGCACGACGGGCCCCCTTTTGTCGTGAACACAGACACTTGGAGGAAGCGCCAGCAGGGTTCTTTACCGATTGGCGGGGTGTTTTGCCAGATCAAGGGGGACTGGAAGATGATGAAGGAGGTGCTCAAGCTAGCTGGCTGGCAGGACGACGAGATTTGCTTCCTGTGCAACATCAAGAAGGGCGAGGCCCGTGGGCGCCCAAACCATCATGGGAACTTATAAGTCAAAATCCCCTCTTGGAGGGGGGTTTAGGGATGAAAATCCGTTTCGAGGGAGGGAACTTATGGAGGAAGCCGTCTCGCGCCCCCTGCCACAGGAGATCGTCGTCTCGCGGGCGGGAAGGAGAGGAGGAAGGAGGGGGGGGGGGGGGAGGAGGAGGGGGGGGGAGGAGCAGGAGGAGAAGGAGGAAGAGGAGGAGAAGGAGGAGGATGAGGAGGAGCATAGGGAGGAGCAGGAGGTGGGCGCCACCGCTTTGAGAATCCCCCATTCAGGTGAAGTCACAGACTGGGGGGGACGCGCCGTGGAGAACAAACCGCCGCACGTGGTCGGACATCATTTGGAAGATCGTTGCTTCTGGCGAGACTGTGTGCCTTCTCTTCCAAGTGCCGTTTGCAGACGAGAAGCTGCTGAAGTTCGACTGGCAGCACGTCGTTGACCTTGGAGTGGCGGCTGACTTCGTCGGCGGCTTGGTCCGGCACCTCGTAACGCACAGAAAGCTTGCAGGAGCTGCTCAGAAAGCCCGCGCGCTGACGCTGCATCGTCATCTGATGGCGTTCTACGACAGGCAGCCGCCAGGTGAGAAGACCAGCCGCTTGCCGAAGCTGGCGCGGGGCGTCGCGAAGGGGAAGAAGGCGAAGACGGCCAAGATGAGGTGCGGCGCGGGGATGCTCAGGCACATGGTTCCATGGGCGATGGAAATTGCGGATGCATTCCTTGATCGTCGGGATGGCGCCGACCAGCGGGCAGCTGCGGAATCGTCAATTCACGCTGGGATGAAAAGCTTGAGTCGGTGTTACGACGCGCTGTCTGGTAACCATCCATTTGTTGTGAATATTCTTCGTGAGCATTCAATGAAGTTTGGCACGCAGGTGGCAGCTTTGGAAGACGCGCTCCCAAAGAATTTCAAAGTTCAGCCGAAAATGCGCATGTTCCAGGAGCTCTGCGTGGAAGGCGGCGAGCCAGCGAAACACTGGAATTACAGGGACGAGGATTTCGGTGGATCTGTAGCTGCTTTTGGCCGAAGGCGGGGTCAGAAGAGATCCATGAGGGCATTTTCGCTGGCATGCATCGCGAAGTTCTGTGGCCGACCGATTCTTTCTGCGCATGCTTTGAAACAAACACCTTGGGCATCATCATTGTCATCATGTACGAAGCCCCTCCCAGTTGGGGTTTTGAGACCCCTCCCAGTTGGGGCTCAAACCAATTTAAAGCAACGATCCTGCATCGAACAATTTTTTCCCTGCGCAAGAAAAGATCAACCCGAACGAAAGTTCCACCCCCGCATTATAGTACAGCCAGGCATTATAGCACAACTTTGGAATCTCAAGGAAGAGGCTCCAGAACAGATCCGGGACGCCCGAAGGTCGCTGCCAGACGCCCAACATGGCCTCCAAGGCGGCTTCAGAAGCCCCCAACACACTTCAAGCGACCCCGAATATGGTCCCAAAGGGAGCCCCAAGGGGCCAAAATAGCCCCATTCCCTTCGTAAAACGTAAATGTTTAACATATTGTTTGTTTTCGCTGTCGGCCCGGCCGAGGACGCGCCCCAGAGGGCCCGGCCCCAATGCAGCCCCAGAGAGCTCCAGGACAGCCCACGAAGGGCCCAAGACGGCCCAAGAGAGTCCCCAAGACGGGCCCAAGAGGGCCCCAAAGGAAAGCCACCGTCGAATTCAAAGCTTTCGACCCCAAGTGGCTCCAGGAGGCGCCGAGAAGCCCCCAAGAAACGCCCGGTAGGCTCCCCAAAAACACCCCAAGACGCTCCAAGAGGCACCCAAAGAGAGAGCTCCAAGAAGCAAAAATCGTTTCGTTCTTGTGGGAAAACGTATATTTTTCGTATGTTCGCCTGTTGGGCTGTCATCGCGTCCAAGACGGCCCAAGGGGTTCCCAAGACGGCCCAGGAGGCCCCCAAAAGAGCTCCAAGACGGGCCACGAGAAGCCCAGGACGGCCCAATGGGCCCCCAAGACGGCCCAAGAGAGCCCCAACACGCGCCCGAGAGGAGTCCAGAGAGAAAACCACTCTCGAATTCCAAGCTTTCGGCCCCGAGAGATTCCAGGAGGCGCCGATGCGCCCCCAAGAGGCCCCAAGCAGGCCCCCCAAAGCACCCCAAGATGCTCCAAGTGGCACCCCAAGAGAGCCCCAAGAAACTAAAATCCGTCCATTCTTATGGGAAAACGTTTTTGTTTTCGCATGCTCGCCTCTTGGGCTGTCACCGCGTCCAAGACAGCCCAAGCGGCCCCCCAAAACGGCCTAGGAGGTCATTAAGAAATCTCCAAGACGGCCCAAGAGGAACGCAGGACGGCCCAATCGGCCCCCAAGACGGCCCAAGAGAAACCCAAGAAACGCCCGAGAGGGGTCCCAGAAGAAGACAACCACTTTTCTAAAGAAGGGAATTCCCAGAATTCCCTTTTTAGAAAAGTGGGACTCCTACTCGGGGGTCCCACACATCCCCTGACATCTGGCCAGTACCGCGCCTCCCGGCTTCCCAAGGGGGAGACCCCAAGACGCCGAAGGACAGCCCATGACGACCCCAAGGAGCCCCCATAACGTAAAGAACGGCCCAACACGCTCCCGCGCAGCCCGAGACACCCTTCCGACGGCTCTCCAGGCCTCCAGGAGGCCTCCAGAAGCCCCAGCGGGTCTGGAAGATCCCACACCCCTGAGGGGCCCGGCAAACAAAACCCGCGAGGCACAAACAAAAAACAGCGCCGAACAGCGCCGAGGAACTGGAAAAAAATGGGAATCCCACATTTTCGTTTTGTTTTCCAAGGTTGGCCCCTGGTCTACTCTTGCACAGCAGACCAAAATAACGATCCCCCTCGCCTTCCAAAAATAACTGAGGAAGCCGTTGAGGGCCCCAAGTCGTTGAGCACCTTCCGCGTTTCCCATTCTATACGATTCCGAGGCTTGCGCAGGGCTTCCAAGGGAGTCCTTGGACGCAAGAAGCGACCACCATGATATTACATGAGTTAGCTGATCAAGCCTAGGTAGAACTTGAGCGCGCGCGCGAAGCGCGCGTGATGGTTCTAGTATGTATGTATGCGTGTACGTGTGTATGCACATATGCATGTATGCATGTATGCATGTATGCATGTATGTGTGTAGGTGTGTATGTGTATGTATGTGTATGTACGCGTATGTATGTGCAAGTATGTGTATGTTTGTGTATGCATGTATGTATGTATGTATGTATGTATGTATGTATGTATGTTATGTGTGTCTGTCTGCCTGTCTGTCTGTCTGTCTGTATGTATGTATGTATGTATCAATGCATGTATGTATGTATGTATGTATGTATGTATGTATGTATGTATGTGTATCTATTTGTATACACCACATTTGTCGACGGTCTCGGGGCCTGGCGAGGGCCCCTCGAGGCCGAAAGCAGCTGCCAAAAATGCCCGTCGCGTTTTCCCACCACGCTCTCGGCAGCGCGGCCCGGCCGCACACCTTCCAGTACAGTGGCTCCTGGTGCCAGAGGCCGCCTGCGCACCCCTCGTGCCGAGGCGTCTCTACGCCCGAGGCCTCCGCCTGCGTTCCTCTGCAGCTGCCCGCCTCTTTTCCCTGACGGCCCTGTGCTCCCTGGCCCCTAGCCCTGGCGCGGCCCGCCAGTTTTTTCCGAGCGTGTTGGCGTCCGCCCCTTGCCGCTGCGAAGCCGCCGAGAGCCGACGAAAACGCCCTCCTGAACTTCGGACCTCGAGCGCGTTCCCCCTTTGAAGTTGGGGGACCAGAGAAACCTCCCGTCGTGCTTTTTTTCCCCGGCAAGAGTTGCTCATCAGGGTTGCTCTACCACAGGAGGAGGCGGAGGAGGAGGAGGAGGAGGAGGAGGAGGAGAAGGAGGAGAGGGAGGAGGTTGTTGATCTTCCAGGTCGAGCTGCTGGGGGAAGGCCTGGTCGGCTCGCACCTCCGGCGGGTCGTCCACGCCAGCAGCCTGCCCAAGGTCGAGCGTTGCTGTGCCAGCAGCGCGGGCGAGCCCTCGGAGGCGTTCCTCGCCACGCTGTGCCGCAGGCCCTTCGGATGTTTCATGACATGTGCTGGTTCACAAGAACGCTATGACCTGAACGCAGCGATGGCTTCGATGTTCAAAGGTTTCTGCGTTTCTCCCTAGGTCTCAGCGGTTTTTCAACCTCGGGAGGCTCTCCAGCAGCTGCGCCTATCGAGAGCGTTCCGGTGGTGCCTGGATCGTCCCGAACGGCCGCCAGAGGCCCCAGCTTTTCTGTTCGAGATCCATTATTGTTGGGGGGATGGCATTGGGATCCAGGCTGTGCATTTTTTCACATCGGTTTTGTTCGCTTGGCTTCGGATCCCGAGACCATCCCAGATCGATCCGCTTCGACAGTTGCAGCAGAAAGATTGGGCTCGCGCCGCTGGTCGGTGCTTCTCGCGATGCTGCACTTTGTTTGCGCCCTTGCGTCGCCAGGACGACCGATGCCTTTCCCCAAACTGGTGCGTGCACTTCGGGGTCCTTACTGCGCCGTTTTTCATACATGCTCCGCGGGCGGATCATGCATTAAGGATGCAGGGATCCAGTATTCCAAACAACGATGGGTTCATGCATGCATGGATTCATACAGCCATCATGCATGCGAAATCCTATACTTAAAAAACAATCCTAGGCATTAAAAACTGCCTTGTACTCGGCCTCCTCCTCCTCCTCCCCCTCCTCCGCCTCCTCCTCCTCCTCCTCCTCCTCCTCCTCCTCCTCCTCCTCCTCCTCTCCTCCTCCTCCTCCTCCTCCTCCTCCTCCTCCTCGCCCCTCCTCCTCCTCCTCCTCCTCCTCCTCCTCCTCCTCCTCCTCTGGCTGTGCCTCGTGGCCGCCCCGTGGCCGCTCCCTCGCCGCCCGTCGCCGCCGCCCGCCGCCGCCTCGAGCGTCGGCGACGGGCCCGCCTGTGGCCGCCCGTCGCCGCCGCACGCTGGCCGCAGGGGCGATTGCGCGCGCCTCGTCGAGGCTCCTTTGCAAGAAATCTGCCTTCGACCCCCTCCTCCTCCTCCTCCTCCTTCCTCCTCCTCCTCCTCCGCCTCCTCCGCCTCCCTCCCTCCTCCTCCTCCGCCGCCTCCTCCGCCTCCTCCTCCTCCTCCTCCTCCTCCTCCTCCTCTCCTCCTCCCATCCTCCTCCGCCTCCTCTGCCTCCTCCTCCTCCCTCCCTCCCTCCTCCTCCTCCCTCCTCCTCCGCCTCCTCCGCTCCTCCTCCTCCTCCTCCTCCTCCCTCCTCCTCCTCCTCCGCCTCCTCCTCCTCCTCCGCCTCCTCCGCCTCCCCCGCCTCCCCCGCCCCCCGCCTCCCCCGCCTCCTCTTCCTCCTCCCCCCTGCGGTTTGCAATACATAAGATGCATCATATGTCGGGCCCCTGTTTGGAATAACGCGAGATACATACGGTGTTGCCCCATCGCTCATGTTGCCCCTGGTCGCATGCCACTCCAGGGAGTCCCCTTGATCGCTCCTTCGCCCCTCCATCCTAGAAGTTTTATCATGCGCGCGCATGGGATCATCAAGAGCACACTGTTCATGAATCCTTTGCACATCGAGTGTCGAAGTCCATGCGCGCGCGTTGTCGCGCGCGCGTGCCGAGATCTTTTCAAGACCCCCGGTTTCGTACATTCGTGAAGATCGAGGTTCCCGAAAACATTCAGGAGGGATAAAAACACAGACACAATGAATCGTCGATCCCCCGGAAACTATGGGAACATATGAGAAGTGGGGGGAAGACAAACAACCCAGAAAATATGGAAAAATATTGGGAATATGGTTATTTGTATATATTTGTGTGTGTGTGTGTGGGTGTGTGTGTGTGTGCGTGCGTGCGTGCGTGCGTGCGTGCGTGCGTTTGTGTGTGTGTGTGTGTGTGTCACAGGGCCCTTTCAAACATGTAAAGAGCAATAGTTGGTAAACGAAGTAACTCAATTAATATGCGCGCGCCCTTGCGAACCCTTACAGATGCCAGAGCTTGCGTTTCAACATCTTCTGACTCTGAGACCACGCGGGCATCTCGCGCGCGCGTGTCACAATCATTACAACGCCCTTGAGCGCTCGCTGGGGGTAACCGCGATCCCTGTCAAGTGCTTTCATGAGGCCACTCCCGCGCGTCGGCCGCGCGCGCATGTCCAAAGCTTTCCAACGTGACCAGAATCGGTGCCATCATTGACCTTGCCGTCGTCGTCATCGTCACCACCGCCACCATCATCGTTACCATCATCATCGATTCCGCGGTAGTCGACGTCATCGTGATACCGCGTCCGCCCGAGTCACGGCCCCGCACTGAAGTGTCCGCGCGCTAGCGCGGCCACCGAAACCCGGTGGAGCGTGGTTAACAGTCAGCGCCACCGCGGCCGCGGCGGCTGTGCCGAACTAGCTGGGCGCTCTGCGCGTGAGCTTGCGCGTGCTAGCGCGGCTGCAGAGATGCGCCCGTCAGTGTCAAGCAATCATCACAATCGCAGCCGCATGGATATTGCAAACCAAGCTGCGTGTGGTAGGGTTGGATGGTTGCGGGAGCAGTGGAGGTGACATCGCACTACTTGCAAAAAAAACTAGATCAACCGCATCTTTCGCACCACACTGCTTGTCTTAAAACATACATACATACATACATGCATGCATGCATGCATGCATGCATACATACATACATACATACATACATACATACATATATATATATATATACATGCATACATGCATACATGCATACATGCATACGTACATGCATACCTCGCACACGTTCACATACATATACACGTGCCTATGCATATACATTACATACAAACATGCATACCAATGCAACCACCCTTCGGGTGATAAGGAGGTTGTGGGGGAGGAGAAGATGAACCAGCATCTGACTCAATCGATCTCACGATCGATCTCACTCAACGGGACTTGACACTTGTCTATCTCACGATCGAATTCACTCAACGGGACACCACGGGACACCGCGGGACACCTTTCGATCTCACTATCGGTCTCACTATCGGTCTCACTATCGATCTCTTTCAGCGGGACACCATAGGACACCACGGGACACCTCGGGACACCACATCGATCTCACTATCGATCTCACTCAACGGGACGCCACGGGACACCACGGGGCACCACGGGACACCACGGGACACCGCGGGACACCGAGGGCCACCGCCAGACGGACGGACGGAGGAGAAACATTTGTCTTGACTTCGCCCTAGCAACGGCGGGTTCATTCCTCTCGCGCGCCCTCGCAGCTTCGCCTCGCCCGCACGCACGGCACGAACGAAACGAAATGATTTCCCGGTTGGGGGTCTCCGTTGCACTGCGATCTTACCCCCCAGCTTCCGACATACGTGCATAGATACCTACATATATATATATATACAATCGATACACATATACATACACACATATCTATAATATATATATATACATGTAGATATACATACATACATCTGCATAAACAAAAACATACATTTACATCGACGTAAACATACACATCTACGGCACATAATCATACATTCATATATATATACTTCCCAAGCCTCCAGAATGGCGACTCCAAGTGGTTGTCCAGCGCAGGGGTAATCATGCAATGTACGTGTGTCGACGGCTCGGTGCGCATCGGTGTCGCGCGTGTGGTTCGACGGCCAGGGCCCGGGGCTTTCTCGACGACCTGAAGTTTGGTAGCGGGCGCAAGCGTGCCCCGTGTTCGGCGTTCGGCGTGCGTGCGAGCTGTGAGCGCCGAGCATGTCAGGGCGGCTCCTTCGCTGTGAGAACCCCGCGGGGGCCCCCGAGCAGCCACCGCTCTCGCCGCTGCCGCTGCCGCCGCTCGGGAGCCCCACGCGGAGCCCGTTGGGCCCCGCAGTGGGGCCCGAGGCGGGCGGGCCGCCCCAGCGGGCGGAGGTCGCCGATGCTTCGACTGCTGGGGGCGCGGACGTCGTCGCTGAGCTTCGGGCTCTTAGGCGTGATGTGTTCTCGTGTGGATTCGGTTTGCTGTTGCCGTGAGTGCGCTGGCCGCTGCAATGCCGACGCCGTGCGCCCCACGAGGAGGCCCCGACGCGTTTGTGATGGAATTCACAGGTATCCCGAGCACTTGGTCAAACAAGCTCACGGCCATGGATCGCGTCAGCCGTGGTCTCGAGTCCCGCCAGAGAGGCGGGTCCTCTTCCTGCCGCCCCCTGCTCTGGGGGCCTCCAGAGGTCCGGGTTCCCTCGGGCGCGGCGGTTTCCCTTGGGCCCGCCCCCGTCTTGGCGTCCGATCTGACCGCTCTCGCGGTCTCTCAGGTTTTCTGCCCTGCTCCTGTTCGTCGCCCTGCCCCCCTCGTCGCCCTTTTTGTTGGTCGCCCCTTTTCTCCGCCTTCGTCGCCCCCTTGCCTCTCGCCCCCCCCGCGCCCTCCACGCCCCCCCGCGGCGGGGCCCCGCGAGTCGTCGAACGTTTGCCCGCCGGCCGCGCGAGAAGAAACAAATCCCACCAACCCTCTCTCCTTCTCCTCCTCCTCCTCCTCCTCCTCCTCCTCCTCCTCCTAACAAATCCCACCAACCCTCCGGGTGCTGGTGATTCAGGGGTGGTGAGTTTGCCGTGCCCGCTTCTCCACCTTCGGGCAGGGGCCCGCGCGGCCGCTGCCCCCCCCCCCCCCCCTCGGAGGCTCGGAGCGGCTCTGCCCGCGCGCAAGGGGGAATCCGTTTGGGCCCAGGATGGCTCCACAGAGTTCCCCGGTGCCCCAGCGGGGCCTGCAAGCCGGCGCAGCGCGCCCCAAATGGGCCGATGCCCCTTAATCCCCTCCTCTTCCCCGCTCCTGCCCCTCGCCCCTCTCCGCCGACAGCTGGTGCGCATTGCCGACGTAACTTTCCGTTGCTCGCGTAACCCTTTCCGTCAGTAAGGGTGCTTGTTGACGTAGAAATAGTATCGTGTTTTCGGTCGCTCAGAGAAACCGACGCAGTTTTCCGTTACCGGCACAACGTTTCGGTTAGTAACGGAATTCCCGCGTTAGTAACGTAAACGTCCTGTCGGTTCCGCCAGTTCCGTCAGTTACTTGCGGTTTGCGACAGAATTTGGTTCCTGCGACGCATGAGGGGCACGTGTTTCTCCAGCCCATCTAACTTGATTCAGCCGCGTACTCCCGCATTTAACTTCGCGCGCGGCAGCTGCGCTCCACCAGCGTGCCAAGATGCTTTGTGATGCGCGCAGATGTGCGCTTGCACAACGTGTAACGTACCGATGGGCTTCGGTGGACAAACACACGTTAGCTGTAACACACGTTCTGAGGAGTATCGAGTTTCTACTGCGCCACGCGCGACAGGGTGGCGTCGAAACAGCTCAAGGTGGCCGCGGGCTTCGCCTGGATGCCCCCGAGGGGCCAGCATGTTCGAATGATGCAACTGACACGGTCCCGACAACGGATCATAGCAGTGAGCTGTCCCGTTGCACGAGTCTGCATTCTCGAACAGTCGTTGTTTCGATTTGCGAATGCATGCGCATGTCTCTGCGTGCTTGCGTTCGCGCATGCGGATTCGCTCGCGCCCGCAATGGCACTGGTCACGGTGCTCGCGAAACCCCGCCCGCGGGTGCTTGGATGTTCGTAGTTACTTGTGCGTGCTTTCTCGCGTGCGCACGCGAAGTTGCATGCCCCGCCAAACCCTGCGCTTGCCCATCGATTCTGGGCGGCATACACTTGCGAATGCCCGCGCCGCCCCAGTTTTGCACGCGGCTGCCTGTGGCACATGTGTCCATGGCTTGCCGTTCGGGCACAGTCCTGCCGCGGCCCTTTCCGCGCCCCTGCCCCCCCCGGCGTCGCCCAGTTCCGCGTCCGCGCCCGCCTGCGCCAGGAATCGCTGCCCCACTGCCACCCAACATCTCCCTGACACGACGGTCGTGTCACGTTCGAGAGGGCGGCTGGCCTGTTCGGCGGCCGACGCGCGGGCGGCGCACGGGCGACGAATGCGCGACGCACCTCTTGTCGCGAAGGGGGGGGGTCAGCGCGCCGGTCGTCTTACTGGGCCTTAACAACACGACCCCGCCACAGTGCAAAAGCAGCGCTGCCACAGCGCCGCCGCCTTCCGCCGCTGTCCCGCGGTTGCCCTTCCCTTCGCTTCGCTTCGGAGTGACGGCCGCGCCGCCGGCCCGCAGTTGTCCCGCGCCCCGCGGCTGTCCTGCTCTCCTCTTTTGGTGCGCGGGGGGGTCGCCTCGACGGGCGCAAGCCGCGGCCCCCTCGCCCCCTTGGGTTTATCGGTATCCCCTGGAAGAGTACTGCGTGCGAGTGGTTATGCTTTCTCGTTCATGTTGCACGCGGTCCCATACCATCCCATGGGGGCCCCCATTTTATCGCCCCCCTTTCATCCCTGTCAAATAAAACTATGCGCGCGTTCGTTTTTCCGAATTATCTGGGCGAAGGCCCAAGCATATGCAGTTGTGAACGCCGCGCTTGTCAGTATCGATTTCGGTGGGGATTCCCATGGTGGCCCGAAGCATGCGTGGGATGTGCAGAAATGGGCGCGGCGGTGCCATGCGGGCGGTGTCTCTCGGGTTTTCGGCGGAGCTCCCTATGGTCTTTTGGGGCCGCGAAGCGTGTGAGGGGAGTGCCGACATGGGCGCGGCGGCGCCATGCGGGCGCTGCCTGTGGGGTTTTCGGTGGAGCGCCCCATGGAGCCACGAAACGTGTGAGGGTGTGCCGAAATAGGTGTGGTGGTACCATGCGGGCGCTATCGCTGGGGCTTTCGGTGAAGTTCCCAATGGGGCCACGAAGCGCGCGAGGGGTGTGCCACAACGGGCGCGGCGGTGTCATGCGGGCGTTGCCAGTAGGACCTCCGGTGGAAGCCCCATGGACTCACGAAGCGTGTCAGGGGCGTGCCAAAATCTGTTCGGCGGCGCCATGCGGCGCTGCCGATGGGGCCTTCGATGGGGTTCCCTTTGGGGCCACGAAGCGTGTGAGTGTTGTGCAGCGGTACCTTGTGGGGTGCGGCGGTACCTTGCGGCCGTTGTCATTGGGGCCTTCGGTGGAGCTCCCGATGGAACCACGATTTGTTTGACGCGGGGCCAACATGGACGCGGTGGTGCCATGCGGGCGCTGCCACTGGGGTCTCGGTGGAGTTCTCTATGGAGCCACGAAGCGTGTGAAGGGTGCGCCGAAGAGGGCGCGGCGGTGCCACGCGGGCGCTAAACACCGGGCCTTCGGTGGAGCTCTCCCTCCGGGGCCACGAAACGTAGAAGGGGTGCGCCGCGCGGTGGTACCATGCGGGCGCTGCCGCTGGGGCCTTCGGTGGAGCGCCTTGCGGAGCCACGAAGCGTGAGAGCGGTGTGCCGATGTGGGCGCGGCAGCGCCAGGCGGGCGTTGCCAGTGGAGCCTTCGGTGGAGTTCCCAACGGGGCCGCGGATTTTGCGAGGGGAGAGCAGGGCTGGGTGGGCGTGGCGGTGCCATGCGGGCGCAGCTATCGGGGCCTTCGGTGTGGCGCCCCACGGGGCCACGAAGCGTGTGATGGGCGTGCCGACATGCGCACGCGGAGGGCAGGGGCAGGGATGGGAAGAGGGGCAGCGGGAGGGAATGGCGGGAGGTGAGGAGCGCGTGGCCTGCTTTCTTCCAAACGAGGGCCCGACACCACAGGATAGTTGGTAACATATGCAATACTTAATTTTCTTTTGCAATGAAAAAAGCAAGGTCCACACGCGCGCGTCGTCGAGAGCGTATCAGTGTCAAGACCGATGATCCCGAACACCTAGAAACAAAACCAGATGTTCTTCAAACCAATCAGCAGAATGATGCGCGCGCGCTCTTGTGAATTCGTGCGAACACCGCATGTTCCAGCATGTTCCTCAAATGAGACCTCGCGGACCTTTCGCGCACACATGTCGAAATCATTCGAGCGCCCTTGCGCGGTTGGCTGGGGGCACGATCCATGCCAAATAATACCATACAGGCCACTCGCGCGCGTCGGCCACGCGCCCATGTCCAAACTTTCATCAGCGACACATGGACATCAGCATCGTCGTCGGCGTTACTAGCACTGGTGCCGTTACTGGCCTTGCCGTCGGCATCGTCATCATCGTCACTATCATTGCTACCATCATCATCGCTTCTGCCGTTTCTGACGTCTTCATGACACCGCGCCCGCCCGGGTCACCGACTCGCACTGAAGTGTCTGCGCGCCGGCGCGGCCTGTGAGACGAGCTGAGAAGACCCCATCGGTCAGCTGGCTGTGCCAAACTAGCTCGGCGCTCTGCGCGCGAGCGCGGCCGCGCGCGAGCGCGGCCGCTAGCGCGCCCGCAGAGATGCGCCAGACCGTGCAGAGGAGCCGTCGCAATCGCCGCCGCGCAGGTTTTGGAAGCCGGGCTGCGGGTGGGAGGGTGGGAGGACTGCGCGAGCAGTGGAGCTGCCAATTCCAAGTTCCTCAAAATTGCACCACAAAGATTGCACCGCGCAGTATGCTAGAACACATTGTCTGGGGTCCACGATGGCTCACACTTTTACGTTTTGGGCGCCGTCGCCTGGTAAGTTCTCAGTTCGGGGATCGGCCTGTGGCCCCGTTGCCCGTTGTCTTGTGTCCTCGTTCCGTTTTTTTGACGCGCTTGCGTCGGTGCCGACTGCCTGACGCCCCTTTCCTGAGGGCGCCGTGTCTGCTGTGTGTCTGGTTTGAGCCAGGACGGAAGAGCCCACAAAAGGGCTGAGGGAGGAGGAGGAAGAGGAGGAGGAGGAGGAGGAGGAGGAGGAGGAGGAGGGAGGAGGGAGGAGGAGGAGGAGGAGGAGGAGGAGGAGGAGGAGGAGGAGGACAGGCACAGAGGACGGGAAACAGCGCCTGCAGCGTTTTCAAGAGCACCTGCGCGCAGGCCGCCCGGGGAGGCCGCTGGCGGGCAGGAGTTCGAGGCGAGGCTCATCCCCTACGAGGTGACCAGGAAGGACGTGCACCTCTGCGTCCAGGCCGTCCCGCCCTCCCTCGGAGGAGGAGGAGAAGGTTCATTGGCCACCCCTGGGGGGAAGTGAGAGGGGGCGAGCCTCCTTCAGAAGGCTGGGAAACAATCAGTAAACCCCCCCCCTCCCCCCCCCCCTCATCAGAGGAAATTATAACGCTTCCGGCACCGGGGCCGGGGCGGAAGCGATATCCCCCGCAGGTCACCAGAGGTCCGCGGAGGGGAGGTCCCCGGAGGTTCCCAGGAGGCATCCAGAAAGGCCTCCACAAGCCTCTGAATGCCCGGTCCCCTTGTTCCCCCGAGCCCAGCGACAAGGCACACCTGCCCAAAGTCGCTTCCTGTGATTCTGTGCGTTTCTGTGAGATTCCCCAGAGATTCCTTCGATACTCCGATTGGCTTCTTTTGAGATTCCTTGCCGTTTCCATTGTGATTATTTTGGGACTCCTTTGAGACTCCTCTGGTGTTCCTTTGATGTTATTCTGGGGGTCCCTTGAGGTTCCGGTCGTATCCCTTTGATGCCCCATTGCTTAAGGGAGCATCACATCGACATCCGGGGCCGGTGGATTATTTTATTTTCAATAAATGTGCTAACATATCGCGGGGGGGTTCGCGGAATCCGTCTGCGATATCTCTCCGTGGACTCTCCCATAGGATCCCCTGAACTAATCAATTTCCCTAGTGCGGTCGCCATAGGGATTGCTTATGTCCACGCGAGCCCGCGTTTTCCAAATTCCTTAGATTCCTTCGTGGTTCGTTTGAGCTGCCGCTGAGATGCCTTTGCGATTTCTGTTGGGTTCCTTTGAGATTGCTTTGAACTTCCATTGGTCCTTTGATATCATGCGTGGGATTATTTGTGATATTCTTCTGGGATTCCTTTGGGGGTCCTTTCAGGTTCCTCTGACATTCCTTCGACAATCCCTGAAGGGAGCATCACATTGACCTCCGGCGCTTGTGAATTATTTTATTTTCAATAAATGTGCTAACATATCGCGGGGGGGGTCGCGGAATCCGTCTGCGATATCTCTCCGTGGACTCTCCCATAGGATCCCCTGATATAATCAATTTCCCTAGTGCCGTCGCAATAGGGATTGCTTATGTCCACGCGAGCCCGCGTTTTCCAGATTCCTTAGATTCCTTCGTGGTTCGTTTGAGCTGCCGCTGAGATCCCTTTGCAATTTCTGTTGGGTTCCTTTGAGATTACTTTGAATTTCCAATAGGGTTCGTTTTAGATTCTGCGTGGGCTTCCTTCTGAGATTCCTCTGGGATTCCTTTGGGGGGTCCTTTCAAGTATAGCTGCTTGCGGTGGTTTCATTGTTTGTCATTTTTGATTTACCTTTGATTTCCGATGCGCGTCAGTTTCCCAGTGTTCTAGCAAGGCGGGAACCCATTGGCAAGCGTTCGTGCGCATTGGTTCTTCAGGCTGTCGCCTCACGTTGGCGCCGGCTTCGGGCCGGGGGAGGGTTAGGCAAATTAATTAATTATTTCATTTTTTAATGTGCTAGCGATATCGCCGGAGGGCGCCGCCCAACATAATTATTTATTTTATTTTCTGTGCTAGCGATATCGCCGGGGGGGTTACTGTTTGCTTCCCAGGGTAAGTTTCCTGAATTTTCCCCGAAGGCACAGAAAATATTTCAGAAGGCCAGAAGGCCTCTGAGAAGCCCCGCCGCCTGAGAAGGCCTTCTTCTTCTTCTTCTCGCTTCGCCCCCCCGCTCGCCGCCGACAGGTCATTGATGTGACCTGCGGTGGCTGCGAGATAGTTATAGAGAGGATGACAGACAGACAGGTCAAAAGGGTGGAGATGGAGATTGGTGGCAGAGACATAGCTGAAACGTTACAGCTGCGCGATCATGCCCAGCATGGCGGTGGCATGCGTTCTACTATCATTCCCCCACCCCATAGAGGCCCACCCTAACCTCTAGGTGGTGACTGCGGTACTGCTGTGGGCTGTAATAGGTGGCGTGGCAGCTGCGGCGGTAGGAAATGTGGCAGGAACACGGATGAGACCGTTGAAGCTGCGCGAGCAGGCCAGTTGTGGCCGTTGCCTATGTTGAAATCCCATCCCATCCTCTTGTGGCGGCTGCGAGGCTGCAGTGAGCTTTCCTAGATGGCGTGGCAGTTGCCGCGGTAGGACATGTGGCCATCTCATCCTCCAACGCCGGACAGGTGGCGGGCGGCTGCAGCGATGGGAGGGGTGGCAGAGGCATGGCAGAAGCCGCCATAGCTGCGCCATCGTGCCACTGTGGCTGTCGCCTACGTTGCGGTACACTCCTCCCGCCCCGTGTCCCACCCCGACGTCTCGTGGCGGCTGCGAGACTGCAGGGGGCTGTCCTGGGTGGCGTGGCGGCTGCGGCGGGGGGTACACCGAGCGCGAGGGAGGTCTGTGCCGAGCAGGCGGCGGCGGGAGCTCCCACGTTCGCCCCTGGAGCGGGCGGTGCTCCTCCAACGTCCTGGGCAGGGTGCCGATGTCCCGTCCGTCGATGGTGAAGCCCGCCCTTGTTTGTCTTCGTGGTGCTGGTAGAGGTGCTCTCCTTGGCGGCGTATCCTTCTGTGGCTCGTCGGCTTCGTCGTTAGGGCTCCCGTGTCGCTGCAGTCGTCGTCCCTGGCGTTGTCGATGTCACTCTGCAAGGTGTTGAGCTCCTCGATTCTGGTCTCCAGCTCCTTCATGCATATCCGTAAGTATGTGGTCATTGTTGGCTTTTGTGTGCTTGTAGAAGTCCTCCATGGTCTTCTTGGTGTTGTCAGTCTCCCCTGCCTGTTGGGCAAGGGGCATGCTGTTGAGGATAATGGCTTTGTTGAAGGCGGCCTGCGTGACTGCGCTGGTCGTGGGCAAGCTTGCCGCACCGTTTTTCGCGATAGCGGTTGCGGCACGCTTCTACTCCATGTATCTGGTATTCTGCCATTCTTCTCTCAACTCGGGTTCGTTTGGTAGCATTTCCCAGTCGTTTCTTCTAATGGCGTATATCTTCCTCATTGGCATGACGTTGTCGATGGTGTTGGTGATTTGGTCGTAGTGGTCCTGGTTCGTGTCCTTCCTCTTGGGTGTCTTTTCCTTTTCGGGTTTGGGCTTTGCCTTGCCCTTGCCCTTGTTGGTCTTGGTCTTGCCCTTCTGGCTCTGGCTGTTGGCCTCGCAGACGTTCTTGGTGGCATTTTCCCATGCCACTGTGGTTGTGGTCTGGTGCCAGTACTGGTCGGGGTGGTCTCTCGCCCACTGGTCCGTCCAGTAGTAGTTCCTCCAGCGCTCGAGGCCTGCTCCGAGCGCCGGTGTAGTGGTGCGTAGTGTCGGTCGTCTGCTTGGAGTGCGGCTCGACGTCGATCTCCGGGGTGGGGGCGCAGCTCCCGAGCCTCTCGCGGCTGATCTTCGTGGTGCAGCCATGGTTGGAGCTTGAGGTGGGTGTCGCGGTGGTTGTTGCGCTTGGAGTAGTTCACGAGCTCTGTGAAGCTTTATAAGAAGACGTGCGTCAGCGCGTTGCCGACGTAGTTCGGGGGCCACATGCGAACCCTACCCCTACCCCCCACGATTTCTGAGGGGTAGGGGGGTAGGGGTAGGGTAGGGGTCAAGCTAGCCAGCTCGAGCGAATCAAGCATGGCATGCCCATTCCCACCCGCCCTCCCACAACATAAGAAACAGTGATGGCACAACTGGGAGCTGCGCGGGCATTTCAGTGCCAGTGGAGGATACCCCAGGACACCACATTGACGTCCGCGCGGGATGTGCGCCGCGTCCCATTCCCGCCAGGCATTTCGCATCGTCGACGACAAGACTGGCCATGTTGAAGGGAACAACGGACACGTTCCGCCCTCCCACAACATAAGAAACAATGCTGGCGCAACTGGGTGCTGGCGCGTAGTGGTAGCAGTAGTAGTAATAGTAGTAGTAATAGTAGTAGTAGTAGTAGTAGTAGTAGTAAAAGTAGTGAAAGTAGTAGTAGTAGTAGTAGTAGTAGTCGTCGTCGTCGTCGTCGTCGTCGTCGTCGTCGTCGTCGTCGTCCGTCGTCGTCGTCGTCCGTCTGTCGCGGTCGTCGTCCGTCGTCGTCGTCGTCGTCGTCGTCGTAGTAGTAGTAGTAGTAGTAGTAGTAGTAGTAGTAGTAGTAGTAGTAGTAGTTAGTAGTTAGTAATTAGTAGTTAGTAGTAGTAGTCGTAGTAGTAGTAGTAGTAGTAGTAGTAGTAGTAGTAGTAGTAGTAGTATTAGTAGTAGTGGTAGTAGTAGTAGTAGTAGTAGTTGTCGTAGTAGTAGTAGTAGTAGTAGTAGTAGTAATAGTAGTAGTAGTAGTAGTAGTAGTAGTAGTTGTAGTAGTACTAGTAGTGGTTGTGGTAGTGGTAGTAGAGGTGGTAGTAGTAGTAGTAGTAGTAGTAGTAGTAGTGGTAGTAGTAGTAGTAGTAGTAGAAGTAGTAGTAGTAGTAGTAGCAGTAGTAATAGTAGTAGTAGTTGTAGTAGTACTAGTAGTGGTTGTGGTAGTGGTAATAGAGGTAGTAGTAGTAGTAGTAGTAGTAGTAGTAGAGTGGGTATACGAATAGGTAGTAGTACTAGTAGTACGAGTAATAATACGAGTAGTATAAGCAGAAGTACTTCAGGTAGTACAAGTAGTCGTACGATTAGTAGTACAGAGTAGTAGCACTATGGAAGTAGAAGTACTAGAAATTCGTGTACTACTGCTAGACTAGTAGTAATGCCATTAGTACTCAATTTGCAGAACAAGTAATAGCAGGAGTCGTAGTATTAGCAGTAGTGGTCGTAGTAGTAGTAGTCGTCGTACGAAAGGTACTAGTCGCACTAGTTGTACTAGTATCACAAGTATTAGTAGTAGTACTAGTACTAGTACTAGTACTATTATTAGTAGTAGTAGTAGTAGTAGTAGTAGTAGTGGTAGTGGTAGTGGTAGTGGTAGTGGAAGTAGTAGTAGTAGTAGTAGTAGTAGTATGTAGTATAGTATATAGTAGTAGTCGAAGTCGTAGTGATAAGTCGTAGTTAATAGGAGTAGTAATTCGTAGTAGTAAGCAGTATAGTAG